GAGGGGGTGCGGGCAGCCCCTTCCTCCCCTACTTCAGGTCCATGAAGCGAATGTCCATGAGGAGGAGGAAGTTCTTGGGCAGGGGGCGAGGGGCCGGGGAGAGGACGGTGAAGACCTGGCGCTCCAGGTCGACGCCGGTGACGACGATGAAGCCAGCCACGCTGGTCTCCGAGATGTTGTCGTCAGGGCTGTCAGCGGTGCTGACGCTCAGGAGGTGGTGCACCATGTCCCGCCCTGGCGTCACCGGCACCAGCTTCAGCTGGTTGTCCTCCTGCGACATGCCCAACGGCAGGCAGGAGTCCGGGATGGTGGGAGCCCCCACCTTGTAGATCTTGACGTCAGAGAACTTGACATCAAAGGCGTGAGGGTAGAAGCAGCCCCGGAAGCCGTAGAAATACTCCCGGATGCGGTCATCCCGGCACTCCCGCCGGAAGTCCTTGGAGCGCTCCACTACACCGCCGGACTTGGGGAGCAGGACGGTGCGCACAAAGTGGGGCAGGTCCCTCTTCAGCTCGTTGTAGAGCCGCTCCTGATCCAGCACCACCACCACGTCCACCTCGAAGGCGGAGGCGGCGTGCACCAGCGCCTGGTAGCCCGAGCCCTTCACCCAGCCGCAGGTGTTGATGACACAGCCGCTCACTGAGGCGCGGCGATTCACCTCGCAACGCTGGTTGAAGACGTCGGCCAGGCGGGACGTGATCTGTGGGGCAGACAGGGCGGAGGTCACACAACAGAGAGACTCCTGAGGCACCCATGTACCCGAACGTCAGCCGGCTCTCTCCAAGGCTGTCCCCGCCTCACTCAGTAATGCCAGAGCCTCGGCCCCCACAGCAGCTCCATGCTGGCTCCGACCGGGTGAGAAGCCCAGGGCAGCGAGCAGGCAGTCCCTGAATGGCAGCAGAAGGGCAGGAGGCCGGCACACTGGGCTCCCTCCCACTCCTCGGGCACACAGCCAGCCTCCACACTGTCCCTGACACGCTTGGTTATTTACTGTTAAGGCATAGGAGCGATGCCCTGGGCAGCCACCTGGGACAAAATCCGGTCTTCCCCACCCCCAACCGATAGCCGCAAAGGGGCAGTTTGCCATGCAGGAGACTGAAGCCATTCCTAAAACATGCTACTAGCATTTATGGGTGCTTGCCTACAGCAGGAGAACCACTTTCCTGCCCTGAAGGCTTCCAGGACGAGGGCAGCACTGGGCTGTGGTGGCCTTCAGCCGAGCAGGGGCCTCTGTCACCAAACAGCAGTGGTGGGAGGACCCTGGGGATTTGGGTCAGCTTTCTGGGTGTCTTCCCATTTTTCTTGGGCTTCTTTCCCCTGGGGTTTCCGTAAACAGAGCGCAGGCCGGGGGTAGCAGGAAGGGGGGTCCCTGCAGGGGAGGAACGCGGTGCAGTGACAGCCCCCCCGCTCCAGCTAACGCTGGCTCCACGCGAGAGCCATCAGACCGTGCCCGCTGCTGCGCTCTGCTCCCTCCCACCTAATGAGCCCTGCGGGCTGGGTGGGCTCGCTGTGACCTGCGGCTCTGGCCTCACCCTCCACAGCCAGCCACGGCTCCCCCCCCGCGCCCGGGCCCCCGGGGGGGGG